CCCAACCCCCCACACACACAACACACACACAGACCACACTCACCCATCAAAAAAAAACACATCAAACCACATTCTGCAATCAAACCATGAAATTGAACCAGATGTGTCCCAGTCCCCCCACTCCCCCCCCCTCCCCCCCACTCCCCTCCCTCCCCTCCCCCCCCCTCCCTCCCTCCCCCCCCTCCTCCACCCCCTGTTTTTTTTGCAAAAAAAAGAGAGAGAGAGAGAGAGTGAATGAGAGAGAGAGAAATTGAAAAAAAGGGCGCGTTCTGGAGAGGGTGAAGTTGCAAATATGGCTCCTGTGTCCTCCCAGAGGTTCAGCCCCAGACACAGAGACACAGACACACACAGACACAGAGACACAGACACAGACACACACACACACAGACACAGAGACACAGACACACACACACACACACACAGACACAGAGACACACAGACACACAGACACAGAGACACAGACACACACACACACAGAGTCTCCGCGTTCTCACCCCCAAAAACTTCCCCGGTGCTCGGCTGGAAAGGAACGTCATTTCACGTTACATATATATATATTAAAAAAATAAGATATATATAAAAAAAATAAAACGAGTGGTGGCGGTGATGGAGGGGGAGAGGGAGAGAGAGGGAGAGGGAGAGGGAGAGAGAGAGAGAGGGAGAGAGGGGGGAAAAGTTTTGCTGTGTTACAGACAAACCGGTTCCACGCTGTGCGACTCCCAACCAAAACTCTTGTTACGTTTCGTGCAGTCGAGTCAGTTCCACTGGAGACACACACACACACACACACACACAACGCGTGCGTTTTCTTTTGCATTAACCCCCCCCCCAACCCCTCCCACCCCCCCACACACACCCCCACACACACACACACACACTTAAACCCACACTTTATTTAAAAAAAACAACCCCTCTCTCTCCCTTCTCCCTCCAAATTAAATGACACACAAAAAATTTTTTTTTTAAGAAAGAAGACCCCCCCTTCCAAAAAAAATTGCAGACTGCAAGGTGAGGGGGGGGGGGGGGAGTGTGTGTGGGGGGGGGTGGGAGTGGGGGTGATGGTGGGGGGGGGAGAAGGGAAGAGGGCAACGAAAGAGCAAAAAAAAACATTTGCAAATAAATACCTGGACATGAAAACACAACACAACACACACAGCAAAAGTAAGTCACTGCTTTCCCAAACACCCCCAACCCCCCCCCCCCCCCCACCTCCACCCCCCCTCCCACCCCCCCACCCCCACACACCCCCAAACAAGTTTAACTTTGCAATTTTTTTTCAATGACAACAAAATTAATTCATCGAATCGAAAAAACATTTTTTATATATATATGTATGTATATATATATGTATATACACATTATACACACATGACATTTTTTTTTAAAAAAAAAGCTGCATTTCTGATGACAGATTCCCCACCGACCCCCTGTGCAGCGCTCAAATACAAATCTTACATCTGAGGGCGTCCTGTTCCGGAGCTCTAAGTGAATTCTTTTCTTCATATCCATCGTTGCCACCAAAGGCTTTGACTACAATATATATATATATATTATAATAATAATAATAATAATAAAACACCCAAAGACACTGACACTGAACCCCCAAAAAAATCCCCTTCACACACACACACACACACACACGAGCCTGAGCCACACCGCGGGCCAACCTAACCCGACCCACTCCTGAGGGGCGGGCCCTCGCCCTCCCCTCCCCGATTGACGGCGCCCGCGGCCAATGGGCGCTCGCCGTGCCGACGCGTAGCCGCGACGCGACCAATGGCGAGGCGGCGAGGGGGCGGGCGCTGGGCTCCCAGCAGGTTGGGTTGCGGTGGTGGTGGTGGTGCTGGGTGGGGTGGGAATGGGGTGGGGGGTAAACTCAGCGCATTAAACGCTGTCGCACCCCCCCACCCCCCACCCCATCAACCCCCCCCCACCCCACCATCACCCCCTCCCCCCCAGAGCTGGTCGGTCGGTCGGGAAGGGTAATGTTGCATTAATATCAAACGAAAAGGGTCTTTTCTCTGCACTTTACGCTGTATTCTGTGAAGCTCTTCGAAGGTGTCTCCACGACGTGATGAGGCGCTGTGTCAAATGCCAGGATTATTATTATTATTATTATTTTCCCTGCCATTACGCAAATGGTCGAGTTGAATACACTCACACACACACACTCACTGTGCGGCCTCTCTCTGGGATAGTTCTCTCGCTGCATTTGCCTAATGTTACATCAACACTCAAACTTCGTTCCTGTGTGTGTTTTATTGTGTGAAGCTCTTCCAAATGTTCCCTCTCTTTCCTCGTCTCTCTCTCTCTCTGTCTCTCTGTCTGTCTGTCTCGGCAAAAGGCATTGCATAAATTGCCAAGTCACTACTGAAACCAAAAACTTGAAGAAGAGCGGTGCCTGGGCCACAGCCGCTTCTAACTAGTCGAGACCAATCACTCAGTCAAGTACTGTGCTCACTGCTGGTGGGAGGGAAAGGTGTACAGAGAATTTCCAAACACCGAGGCACGCCGATGGATCGAAGAGTGAAAAGTTCCACTCTCGCACAAAGTTGAGAGCTTGTGCAACATTTTCTTCCCCACCGCGCGGAAAAAAACACACACACCGCTTGCGAACAACCTTCGCGCCTTTATATTAAAAAATCTCAAAAGAGTCTCCGGTACAATTTCGTAACCTGTTCTTTCGAAAGTATTCGGGGGAGAGGGAAGGGGGGAGAGGGAGGGGAGGAGGAGGGGGGGAGAAAGCCAGAGAGCATGGTGGCAAGAAGCCGAAATACAGCACAGCTCCCTCTCACGTGATGCATTTCTTCCCGAAGAATGTTTTCACATTTTTTTAAAAAAAACACATCTCCCCCACCGCACCGCACCGCAGGCAAACTACCATCACCGCAAGCGGAGAGCTGCATATTAATCTTTTATACACTATATAAATATATATATGTATAGACACATATATCTAAAGCACAACTACAAAACAACAGCTATTAATACCACAAGCCAGAGTGGGGGGGGGGGGGGGAAGATGGAAGGACACCCAAGTCTGCAGGAATAAAATGTCAACCTCCTATCGTGGGCTCATCCTCAGCATGCAGAGATGTAATTACCTTATAGTCCCAATCATTGGAAATAAATAGGTTTTAAAAGGCAAAGCAAAATTTTCTCGAGAGCCATTGCACAGAAACCGCCACGTGTGCATGCAATCTGCACAGATGCACGCGCGCGTGTACACACACACACACACACACACACACATATATATATATATATTTCAGCGCATATTATTTCAATGTGCGTCAGACGCAGTTTTTAAAAAAAACACTGAACATTGCATCCGGGAGTCAGAGAGAGAGAGACAGAGAGAGAGAGAGGGATTCGCTTCGGCACAGGAGGCGTCGGCAGTGTCGGCGCGGCTGACGGGGCCGGGCAGCCAATCGCAGGGCCGAGCGCGGTTGAGTGACGGGCCGAGCAGCCAATCAGACGGCGGGTCCCGGGCCCGAACGGCAACCAGCAGATGGGGCGTCACACACACCCGGTGTGCGAGCGACAGGGCCGCCGGGCCAATCGGATGGCAGCCCCGCCCCTGTCTAACTGACTGACAGGCGAGCGGACCAATCGGCTGACAGCCCCTCCCCGGGCTGACTGACTGACTGACAGGCGAGCGGACCAATCGGATGGCAGACTCGGGCCCAAACGGCAACAAACCGATAGTGTAACAAACACACGGGGGGCGGACACCGATCACGTGGCGCCGCGGCGCCATCTTCAGCGCCTTTGCGCGCACAATAAAAACTCGCATCAATTTTTTTGGGGGGTATTTTTTTTGCATTTTTTTTCCCCAAAAAAAACAATATCCCCACCTCCCCCCACCCCGCCCTCCCCCTCACCCCCCCCACACACACACAACACAATGGCGCTTAGATTCTCAATGCACAAAGCCATGGAAATGAAGGAAGTGACATTACCTCCGGCTCAGGGGCTCTGTCCCTCTCTCTCTCTCTCTCTCTGTGGAGGGCTCCACCGCCCGCGATCAACACACACACAGCGATCGGTGGGAAGGACAACCCCCCCCACACACACACACCCGCCACCCCCCCCCGCCACCCGCCACCCGCACCCCCCCCCACACACACACACACACACAACGCAACAGTTTCTCAGCTGCTGCAACGCGGCAATGGCCTTCCCGGGGGGTGGTGTGTGTGTGGTGGGGGGGGGGTTGGTTGTGTTTTTTGCACACACACACACCAACCCCCCCCCCCCCCGAGAGGGGAAAAGAAAAAAAAAGCAGACCAGCTCCTCCAGCGCCAATTCACTGACTGCTGTTTGTTTTGCCCCCCCCCACAAAAAGAAATAAAACCAGTTTCCTCCTCCTCGAACGCACCGCGGCAGCTCGGCTCCCCCCCCCCTCAGATTATTTTCCCTGTAGCTTTAGTGTGGACAGGGCAGTGTGTGTGTGTGTTTCCCTCCCCCCCCCCACCCCCCCTTTTATCCCCCAGCCCTGTGTGTGTGTGTGTGTGGGGGGGGGTTGGGGGGTACTTTTCCACCATAACCTTTGTGATTTTTAAAAAAAAATCTCATTTGCATTTTTTAAAGAACACTCCTCTCTGTGCGTTTATTGTTGTAATTTAATAATAAATCCAATTTGGCATTTTTTTAAAAAAAAATATGACAAGGTTTCTTTTTATAAAAAATGTCACCTCTCCCCCCCCCCCCCCCGAAAAAATAAATAAAAAGCTATTTCCGGATTGATTTTCTTTCAGATTATCAATAGCACATATTCTTGTGATTTCAAAACAGATCCATTGCCCATTAGACAATGATACATAATACAACCCCTTCCCCCCACTCCCCCCCACCCCACTCCCTCCACACCCCACTACCCCCCCACTCCCCACTCCCCCCCCACCCCCACTCCCTCCACACCCCACTCCCCCCCCACACCCACACACAATTAATGCAATTAGAAGCTTGAGATCATCGATGCTCTGGTGGTATTGTGTGTATAAACCAAGGATCCTGTAAATATTGGATAATTTATATAATTGGAAAAATAATTGGAAAAGTAATGGCAGCAATAATAATAATAATAATAATCCTTGCATTTCATACAGCAATCCCTCTATTTTTAATGCAATTTTGGTTTCAGACATGAGATCAACACACGTTTACTGTTTATTAAAAAAGAGAGGAAAGTTTGCAAACAAGACTCAGAGAAAACATCCTTTTAAAGCAGAGGCTCTGATAAATTTATTTCCAGTTTTTTTCAAAAAAAAAGACAAAAAAAAGGAGGGCGAGGAGGTGTTTGCTTTCGTTCTGTTTAAAGGGACAGACAGACTTGATTTGATTTCCGTTTTAATAAAAATAGAAGCTTTGATGAAAAGTATTTTTATATTCACTTTGTTTAAAAGGAAGCTGGAATCGCTCTCGTTCATTTGGTTGTTATTCGCTGTAACTGACTGTTTATTTGTTGGCAAACAGGACATGTGCACACTGCAAGGTCCCACGACAAACAGCGACACATTGAAGCCAATGACACATTTATCCGGAGGATTCTTGACCAGGACATTGAGACAAAATTCTTTCACTTTTGCCATAAACCCACAAAATACACCGTCAATCTACTTTACAGCAGGCGCGAAACCGTGGGCGAGTTACCTTACTCCGCACGCACGCCTCTGTTTTCTACCGGTTGTTTGTCGATCGGTGGATCGCTTTCCGGGAGTACTAATCCCTTCAAAAAAAAAATTGTGTCGCTCAATCCATGACCGTTTGTGGGACCCTGCGATTGGCTGCCGTGTTTCCCCCGCAAAATACACAGTCACTACACTTTACGGGACATTCTGTGAAGCGCTTTGAGACGTCTCAAAGATGTGATAAGGCGCTGTATATCAAACGCAAGGATTATTAGCGTTATTGTTCTTGTAGAATCAGTGGGAATCTTTAAGTCTGGAGTGAGTTGACAGCGCTCCACTGACTCACTCCCTTCAGCGTTGCATTGCAGCGTCAACGCGGTGGACGGGGAGCTCGAAGTCCCGATGCGGAGGCTTGATCCCACAACCTTCTTTCTGACCTAAAGGCAAGCGTGACGCTGACGCCGACGCCTGAGCGAGGCTGACACCTTGAGGAGAAGCAGAAGGCCCAGAGAGAAAGAGAGAGAAATAAAGAGTTGTTGCTCACAGTCTTGGAAACAGAGCGAGGACTGAAAGCTGGTCTCAGATCAAGGTTGATCAAGCACGAGAGTAAAGCAAACAGCACCGGGCATTCCGGGACACAAACACCGTTAAAGGTTCTGCTCCCGGTGCTGACATGGACAGTGGGCTCAGCCGTGCTGTTGAAGTCCTGGGCAATTTGTACCGTATTGATCGCACGTGGGGCTGGGGGAGTTAATGATAATAATCCTGGCATTTGATACAGCGCCTTATCACGTCTTCGAGACGTCTCAAAGCGCTTCACCGGATATACTGTGTATTTACGGGAGAAACGCGGCAGCCAATCGCGCACAGCAGAGTCTGTCCCACAAACAGCCGTGGATTGAGTGACGCGACCGCTGCTCTTTTGCAGCGGAACGCTTTGAGACAACAAGGACA